CTGACGGTCTACAAGACTCCAAGATACGACCCCTTGTACACAAACTCAAGATCCGCTATGAGCACGTTCATAGACGGATATGGGTATCCAAGTCACAGAACCATTGCCAAAATAATAATATAAAGTAGAGAATATATATAAAAGTAGAAAAGGAGAGAATTAGTTTGTTGTGGTGATTGTGGTATGTGATATTCTGATGGTGTACTGTGTGTTTATCAAATGTGAAAGAGGAGTGACCTTTTATAGGCATCAAAAAACATGTAACCTTCACCAACCATAAAAGTTCACCAACCAAAAAATTAAGGCATTCACCAACCAGAAACAAAACCTGAATATTAAATATTTATAACCCCCACAATAAATAAAATAAAATAGAAAAATAATTAAATAAATAAAACGGTTAAAATTTTAAAATCTTTTAAAATTCCAACACTGATCACGAAGACTCATGTATTCTTTCTCAAGTTCTTCTATCTCAGCATCTTATTATCATCTTGCCCATCACCATTTTCCTCTTCCTCCTCCCCCTCTTCTTCTTCTTCATCCTCTTCATCTTCTGATTCTTCTTCATTCTCTTCTTCTTCTGATTCTTTTTCCTCCTCCTGATCATCATCAAAGTCATCCTCTTCCTGCTCCATCTACATAACAATCATCAATTACCAACACAACCACCAAAATAAAACTGAATGATTACCAAAAACCAATAACAGAATATAGATACAAACTAACCATTAGCTCGTCACTGTTTAAATCGTCATCATCCTCAAACTCACTGTCACTGAAAGGAGCCTTTCTCTTCTGCTTTGAAGGTACCCCCATTTTCTGACTTCTGAACCCCTACAAGTTCCAAAACCCAAATATTTAAGCAACCAATTCCTATAAATTTTGGGTACTCATATAATTACTTCCACAAAAATTTTAGCTTTAATGGGACACACAATCTCATTCCAAATACGCAACCAATTCAGAAATCCTAAATTTCCGACCAAAAAAAAAATTCAGAAATCCTAAATTCTAAAGTTAACGAATTTTCCTTGTCTCAGCTAAGTAACCAAACAAATGCAACAGAGAGGGAGAAAGAAACCCTAACCTTTCGAATGTGAAAGAAGAAGAAAGACGGCGACAGTGAGAGGCAGAGAAGTCTGAGAAGCTGAAGTGTGGGTTTTTGGTTCAACAAAATGTCACTTAGTGAGCCATGATTACCCTTTGAATAGTATATTCGGCCCAAGTGTGGTATTTTCAGCAAGATCGAAGTGATAATAGGCAGAGGTTTCCTGGCAATGGCGTGGTGTGAACCTAGAATTTGTCATGCCATAACTTTCCTTTCATTTCAAGGGGCCATGTCTTTATAAAAGACACAAATAAGTCTCCAAATCCTATTGTCCTTTTATGTTAAAGAAGCTCCCACTAGTTGGATTGCTTTTGTTGCTTTCTCCCTTTTTTTATCTTAAAGAATAAAAAAACACATAATGATTTCATTTGCTTGACTCAGAATAATTGCTTTTCAAGTCAATGGATGGATGATCCTTTCATTTTTTTTGGTCATAAGGATGATCCTTTCATTTGGTCATTCACAAGCGGCTTGTTTATACAATCCAGGAGGGAAGTAGGAACCACAAAACTTGATAGAAGATTTAATTTCGACTCATCAGACAGTTTGCTTGTTCATACAATGGCACTTGTGAGAGCAGCTCAGCAAACCTCCTCTTCTTATTCTTGTCGATATTGTCGTTATCACGTGTTCCTGAGTTTCAGAGGCCAAGACACTCGCAAGACTTTCACTGACCACCTCTACACGGCCCTTGTCAACGCCGGATTTCGCACTTTCCGAGACGACGATGAAGTCCAGAGAGGAGAAGGTATCAAGCTCGAACTTCAGAAAGCAATCAAACATTCACGAACTTCTGTTATTGTATTTTCAAAAGACTACGCGTCGTCCACATGGTGCCTTGAGGAGCTCGTCATGATCCTTGAACGCAAGAGGATCTCAGCTGACCATGTCGTTTTACCTGTCTTCTACGACGTGGATCCATCCGATGTGCGGAAGCAGACAGGAAGTCTTGCAAAGGCATTTGCTAGACACCAAAAAACTCAACCGCTGCCGAAGGTGAAGGCATGGAGAGAGGCACTTGCAGAGGTTGCAGATCTGGCAGGGATGGTCTTGCAAAATCAAGCTCATGGGTAATTTCATTCCTACTACCAACTGAATTAGTTTCTTTATTTGGTTGCAACTGAATTAGTATCTCGTTATTAATCTGTATTTCGTACAAAAATGTATATTTGATCGATTAATAATATGTTTGATCTAGATTTGAAATTATTTGTTTTTGTTTACGTTTGGTTGAGCTTTAGTGCTTTTGGACTAAATTTTGATAGATTCTGTCCTTTCAAATAAATTAAAAAAATAAAAAAATAAAAAATATTCATAGATTCTTTAATAACCCTAATATCCAGCAAGAAGTTGCAGATCTGGCAGGGATGGTCTTACAAAATCATGCTGATGGGTAATTTCTTTCCTACTACTTTGTTTTATTTATAAGTCTCTTTCTCAACTTAAAATACTGAAAATGATCTTTTCATTCTATTGTCATGTTTTCCTTTCTAAAGTTAATTTCATATGATTTTTACTTTTTCAGGGCGTGTTAATTATAATATTTCTGAATTTTCTTATGACTTGTTTT